AACTCTTAACTTTTATAAAGAATATCTCTTTGGATTTGAGACTTTAGTGTTTGCAACTTTACAGAACTTCTTTATGCACCAAGAGCTTGTAACACTCCAAAGAGAAAGGAAAATTTGAAATATGACCCCTTTAAGGTTTGCATGTTAGCATGGACTCACTAACTTTAACGTTAGCTAGTTTTAGCCAGAGATCAGTGGCGGAGCCAGGATGTTTTCACAGGGGTGGCCAGGAAGGGGCCAGCAACCAGTCTGGGGTGGCACAGAAATCTTCATTATTTCAATATAAAAATGTGTTTGTCTATAATGTACTGTACTGTTTTAGTGCCTAAAACACAACTGAGTACAATTAATTTCTACTTAACTGTAATTTAGATATTTGTGAATTAGATAAAGTAAAGGGAATATGACAATTTTTGTATTATTCCTCACCTCCAGGTATTTTAATAAAGGGGCTCACTGTAGCTTTATTGCTCATTCAGCTTCTCAAAACTCCTAAATGCTTGCTCTCCAACATTGCATACTCATGGATGAGACATGCAGATAGTGATACAAATGTGAAAAAGGTCGGAAGTCAACAGTATAAATGCCAGAATATAAAATGAGTTATTTTATGCATTTAAATGGTTTCATTTTCGCATATTTTCTAGTATAAGTGCACTGTGCTCACATTTATTTTTGCATTAAATTACAAATAAAAAATACATATCAGCTTGTGCCTTATATTGTGATCTCGAATTGCAGAATACATTTTAGTACATGCATTTGAGAGACGTTCTTGTGTGCTGCGTGCACAGTTTGCAGCTTTAATCGTCTTTTTGGTAATTTCATGACTTAGCTTACGACAAGACTGTATGTACCCAGATAGCGAGTCAATCGGGCCAGATGCGGCAGCCGTTAGCGAGCCGACACTGCCGCATCCGAGCCGGAATCGGCCCGACACTGAAGTGCACAGTGCGCCAGACGTGGCCCGGATTCATTTTTAATATCTACTTTACTGTACACTAATCCTTCATTTAAAATTGATACGCAGCCAAAACGTTTACTTTCATTTCCATTATATATACTATAATACATAAATAACACGACCTAACACATCTAATGTAGATTATGATGAATGCAATTTTAAAGTCCATTTTAAAGAACTCACTTGATCAAGTTGGCATGAAGAAAATTTATTTACAAAACTATACAATTACAGCCAAAAATACACAAAACAAACAAAAAAACAACAGTTGTTATACAGAAATAGCTATAAAACATCACATTTTGCAAAATTACCCTTGCATTTACTTATACTTGGATTATAAAATTTAATAAGTATAAACATTAAACACTTGGGTAACAGTTACCTACGTAATATGAACTAACAATGGCAAATACTTCTAAAGCATATATTAACATTAGTTGATGCAAATTTCAACATTTACTATACATTATTAAAAACAAAAGTTGTATTAGTTAACATTATTTAATGGATATGAGCTAACATGAATCAACAAAACATATTTTTTTATTATTAACAAACAGTGACCAAGATTAAAACTGTAACAAATGTATGGCTCATTTTAGTTAATTTCAACATTTACTAATGTTAACTAATGATACCTTATTGTAAGTGTTTTGAACAACACATTGGTAAATGGCAAAGTTTGGAAATTAAACATTTTGTACTTTTATCTAATTATCTAATCATTTACAACTGTTACCATGGATAATTTTTGAGTGAAACAATGATTACTGTTCCTTGGTTGTTGCTCATTTTCAAATCGCTCAGGATTTATGGTTGTGGTGGTGTAACTGTGTCTTTCCGCATCTTAATCCGGTGATATTATTGTTTTTGTGAGCTTTCATTTTTGCACCTGTAAACAGCAAAACATATACAAGCATATATTAGGTCTAACGTAATGCGCCAAACTGAATGAAATTAAATATATATGTTCTACCTGTTGTTTGACAGACTATTTACAGCAGCACTAACTGCAATGACAGCACCATAAGTGCTAATCATCACAGTGCAGAAAAATATCAGTTAACGCTACAATAAAATTACATTTTGTACATTATGTACATTACATGAACATTTAGTCATTTAGCAGACACTTTTATCCAAAGCGACTTACAAATGAGGACAATAAAAGTAGTCAAAACTAACAAAAGAGCAACAATATATAAGTGCAAATGACAAGTCTCGGTTAGCCTAACAGTAACAGCCTAGCAGCCTAGCAGTACATGTAGCAAGGTGTATATATATGTATAAATATATATATATATACACACTTTACAAAATTATAAACGCAACAAAGTAGGTTGTCGGCAGCCCTGGGTAGAAGGGTGTTTCTCACAACGCCTGGCCAGTCCTTTTGGTCTGTCATCTGTTCAGTTAGACTGAGCATCTGCAGCATTTTGGCAAACTCGTGTTGAGAGTAAGGGCTAGAGACTACTACAAGATCAAACAGAGTGTGGAG